TGCGGACTATAGTCCGCCCTTCCAACGGTCTGAGGGACAGTGAACTGGCCCCCTGTTTTAAAAGTTTGAGGACCCCTGGATCAGCCGTCACCTACCTGCCTTTTAGAATCATTCGCAAGAGTGATAGAAGCAACATTAATTCCTTCTGCCCAGAAGGAATTAAAGCGTATTTTAGTTGGGAGCAAGCATGGTACAGAGGCTAACAGAATTTCAGAAGTCACTGTTATCCTGTGGCAAGACTGTTTTCCATAGTTATCTATGTTATCATGTCCTGGACCCTGTGTTCTGGTCTCTTCGATGAGCTGTCTCCCTTATGAACTTTTAAATAATGAGATCATAAACCCATTTACGGCAAAGATGAACTCTAAACACATTAGACATAAACACTTTGTGTCTGATGGGACTTTAGAAAGTAAACACACTAGCCCCTGGTACCTAGAGTACAGGCCAAAGAACTGGAGCTTAAGTGTTTGGCTCAGAATTCCTTAGTTAAGTGGGGGCAGAGCTAGGGCAAGGACCAGGTCTGCTCATTCATAATTCTGGGAAATGCTTTTTCCTCCTATCTCCCCACCCAAAAGTAATGGAGTTTTTAAAAATCAAGTTATTAATCTTAGAATTAACTTCATTCAAGACCAATCATCATGAGGAATTCAATTCTGATACAGGAAGTCATATAGACACTATGAAAATAACTCAGTGTCATCAGACAACTTTTGGTGTCGTTTCACTTTCTTCCAAACAAATGAAAAGCAGTACATTTTTACAGGCGTGTTGTCTCTTTGTCTTTCTTTCTGTTATGAGTATGCATTGAAGAGTCAGTACTAACCCATATGGATTATATGTCATATTGAAGAGTCAGTACTAACCCATATGGATTATATGTCATAAGACATATCAGATTGTCTTATCCATGACCTGAATAAAGTACTGTTTTATTGATAACATACATACTTACTCAACATAATGTCCTGGTTACATACACAGAGCCTCCAGCCTTTACCAGGTAGGCTAAGCTGGCCCCCATGCATCAAAACACCATCGGCTGACTGAGGCTGTTCTGCCTTTTGCCAGCCTGGCAGAACCATTGTCCCCTTCCCTCCAGCAAACTCCAGAGCGAACTGGACCTGTGTCCCATGTACAGGACTGTCTCACAGTCCTGTGTCTTCACAGCGTCAGGACACCATGAGCTGGCTGTGTGCTGCCAGTTCTCTAGCTATACCCTGCCTTTTTCAGGGTCAGATTAAAATCTGCCACCCATAATCTGGTATAATATGCCTATGTTTAGCCCCTACCATTGACCTAAGTACAGGGCTCCCTTTACTGAAACTGAAAACTAGAAATGCTCTTGTGTATGGATCAACCATGCAGGCTCTCAGAAGAAAACTTAAAGTCATTTGTCCTTTTGTTTCAGAAGTTAAAAACAGAATCTTCATCTGCAGCAGAGTTGTGTGAATCATTATGGTGATTTTGAAATAGCTTTGCAGTCTCTGAAGCCCCTCAGGCCTGCTGCTTTCCAGCGCTGGGAACTTGGGCATCTCATGTGACCTCCGTGTCTTTATCTGTGAAATAGCAATAAAACCTCACCGGCCAATGTAAAAATTGAAATAATGCCCAGCATGTGGAAAGCAATAAATGGGAGTTGTTAACCTTGACAATTACAGTAATGGTCAATGTGTTTTAACTATTTCAAGTCTTCTTATTGTAAGAATGGGGGAGTTTTGGTCCTGTGCCTTCTTCCCTTTCCTGCCCTCCATTCACGTGGAGACCCAGACTCCTGCAGAGGACTTGAGACAGGTGTTTCCCCAGCTATCTTGCAATTTCCCAGAGAGGTGACCAGCAGGAAGTGAACGCCCGGGAAGACACAGGCCCACTGGCAGGGCCGGGAACCTCTGACCCTGTGAAATCCCCCCGTAAGTCTCAACACTAACTGAGCATCTTGGTGTAGAAGAGCCAGGTTGTTTTTTTGTTTTGTTTTGTTTTTTTCCTCTTTTTTGCCTTACTTTCAAATCTAAGACAAGGACAAGGGAAAAAAGGAAAAAACAAGAAAATCAAGAGGCATTTCCCTTTTACAAAGTTCTCTACCCCATTGCTCAAGAGAAACCCACATTTCTTTAAATGCTTGTTTTTCTGTGGGGGCAAACGCAATTTCTATCTGGTGGAATTACTTTTTAAATGCTATATTTATTATAACTTTATATTTTAAAGTGTTTAAGGTTTAGAAAAGAGAAAACTTAAAATACCCATAATCCTACCAATCAGAATTTATTTTTAACGTTCCTCTATTTTTTGTTATTCTTGATAGTGATAGTAATGATAAATTACTGTTCTATTTTTTCCGTAAACGAATTATTTTTTAAAGACTGGAATTTTATGTTTTATGGCAGTCTTTTTTTACTTGGTTTATTGTGAGCGTTTTCTAACATCAGTATTTTTCTTCAGTATATTATTTCATTACGCGGATGTGTAGCCAGCCAATCCCCTGCTCTTGGGCATTGGAGTTGTTTCAGTTTCTTGATTCAGTGAGGAGTGAGCTGCTGCTTTCCATAAATGACAAGATGTTCGGGGAATGTCTATTGAACCAATGGCTCCAGCACTCGCTGGCTGCAGCCCTTCTTCACAGAGGCTGATTAACCAGAAGTTCTTTTATCTCTGCTCTGGTATTAAGAAAGGTGGAGGCTGTGAAGCCTGGTGGTTTCAGAGGGGTTGCCCCTTTTCCCTATCTCCCCAGGGTTTTCCCCTCTTTAAGCTGAAGAAAAGGTGTTAAGGTGAGGAAGAACTTGGAGGGAAGTGGTGTTAGAAATCAGATTCACTGATAAAACTTTACATAACTGG